GTATAATTTTTTGTATACAAGCAAGAAAGTGATGAAAGTATGCCTATTTGACATTTTAAATACTAACGAGGTTACATTGCTGCTTACTTCGTCTTATGACTTGTATGTGTGTTTGAATACATGTTCAATGCAACGACAAAGACAGATCTATAGGCATACTCCCCTTATTGCCACCTACCCCCGCAAGTGATCTAACGAACCTCCTTATAAGGGTTATTCCACATTTTATAAAATATGCAGTAAAAATTAGTGTAAAGAAAAGAAAATATTTTATAGAAAAACCTGATGTTTTCAAGATAGTTGGAATTTGGTCGATAGTAATAAGGGAATGAACCAGCGTTTGACAGTACACGTACGTAACACCATTTTAGTAGCTACGGAGAAATATATGAAGCAAGTAAAAAAGTAACTGTAGAAATATGATGGATTTCAAATTAATATTATGTAGTTAAATTTTGTATAATTTTATTTTGCTAGGATTTTCTGCCGAATCGATCCTGTATTGAAATAATAACGAGAAGATGAAGAAAGCTCATCAATAATTGTCTGTCGTCTGTCCTTCTCGGAATATACTCGAGAAAACCGACAAAATTGAAAGGATAGAAGAGCGGACGAATAAAGAAGTCTATTGAACGTAGTTCTCGCGTGAGAATAGCAATTTTTTTTCCTTTTTTGTCATATTACAACAATTTTTGTACACGGATTAAAGAAATAGATGCCACAATACAAGATGATAATCTGCGTTAGTTAAGTTTTTCGACAACTTTATAATGAAATACAGTCTTTTAATTATATGCTTTTTTTTTGACAATACTAAACTTGTGCAGCTCGTACTGCCGTTGCATTTACTTCAAGAGACAGAAAAGCTTTGTTTCAACACAACGCAATAGCGCAAATTTATCAAAATTAAATAAATAATTGAGTTTTCAATATTATATTTTATTTATATATTTATTATAACTCATTGTATTTTCAACATTATATTTTAATATTTCAATATTAATATTTT